TTGTTGTACTCTTGTTCTGTTCTGGACTCTGCTCTCTGTTGGCTGTGTTCCAGGTGGTGTTGCCATACCTGTCAATCTCTGTTTGTTGCCTGTTCTTGTAGGTTCTCTGTCCCCAGAACTCCCTTTAGGATGTTTTGAAGTGCTGGGTTGGTTTTGATAAAATCTGTCAGACTCTGTTTATCTGGAATGTTCTGATCGCACCATTGTATTTGATTGATAGTTTTGCTGGATAGACGGTTCTTGGTTGACAGTTTTTTTCTTGCAGGGTTTTGTATATGTCTCCCCATTGCCTTCATGCCTGCATTGTTATTCTAAATAGTCACAGCTTAATCTAATTTTCTTGCCTTTATAAGTTATATTTCTCTTCTCCCTGGCCACTTTTAGCATTCTTTCCTTGTCTTTGGTTTTGAAGAGCTTGATTATTACATATCTTGGAGACTTTCTTTTGGGGTCTACCCTTCCTGGGGTATGTTGGGCTTCTTGAATGTTTATCTTCAACTCTTTCAAGATGTTAGGGAAGTTTTCTTCCAGCAGCTCTTCAGCTCTCTCCTCTGTGGACTTCTTTGATTCTTTTTGTTCGGTAATGCCAATAATTCTTACATTGTTCCTCTTAATGTTATCCAGGAGGAATCTTAGACTCTCTTCAGATTGTTTTATCCTTTTAGCTGCTTGCTCTTCTACCTTGGCAGCATTGAGAGATTTGTCTTCCAGTTCGCTAATTCTGGCTTCCATCTCTTCTAGTCTGCTCCTTTCACCGTTCAGGCTATTGTCTATTTCTGATATCTTATTACTGATCACCTGGACTTCTTTTTGCAGGCTTTGAATTGTTCCCAATGCTGTGTCAATCCTATTTGATTGTTCCTGCAGTACTTTCCTTACTTCTACCTTATTTTCCTCGACCCCTTTTCAGAGTATTTGAATTTGTTTCCATATCATTCTTCTGAATTCCCTCTCAGGTATATCCAGAACCCGGTCCTCCTCCTCTATAAAGCCTTTGTCTGTCTCCAGCTCATTTGCATCTGCTGCTCTCTTCTGCTTTTGGACATGTTTTGATAATGTTAATTGTTTCTTATTGGGCATGGTTATTCTAATTTTATTATAATTATTAATATGATCAGGAGATAGGCTTCCCTTATTGTCTGTAACACGTAGTACATGTTGTTAAGTCTTGTCTAAGTAGTGGAGTATTATGGTGTATGTTTATATCTTGGCTATATGGCCACAATTGTAGAGCAGACTAATTTTTAAGGTGATAATTCTGTATAGTCCATAAATTATGTTATAAATTTTTGCTGAAAAAAGATTCCCCACCCCTGGCCTAGAGTAGATGAAAACAAAAATTGAAAAACTTTATGATATCAACACTTGCTGGTAGCTGAAGATAACAGGTAGAGGTACCATTAACATGCTTATAGACAAACAAGCCTTCTTTTGAAACTTGGTTTCAGAAACAAATGAAAATTAGAAGTGTAAGGCCAGAGAAGTTCAGTTTTGATCTATTTTTCATATGGGATCTTTGCACTGGCCTAATGCCACTGTTATTACTAATACTCTATGGATGACAAGCTATGTAATTCATGTGCTGAAACGTAATATTCAGTGACAAGCAACCAAAGGATGCCACCAGGCACACAAAGTCAAGACACCAGAATATAAGCAAATATACCAGAAAATGGGAATGGAGAAGACAACTTAATTTCCTCAAATCTGTGAAACAAACAGGACTCATTTACTACCTTTGCTATACAGAATCTGTATGTAGTAAAAGACCTGTAGAAATCAATTCTTCTAAAATTATGTGATTAAAAGGTTTAATCATATTTAGGCCAAGTAGGAAGTTACATTCAAATCAGGAAAACAGCTTCCTCTAATAGTGAAATATAAGTAACTTAAATTGTCAAATACTTTAAGAAGAGTCTAGAAAAATAAATGGATAGATGACATATTTCTTAACAAATAAGCATATCAATATCAACTTTTAAAAAGTATTTGCACTAAATTTTTCTTGAAACTTCTGACTACTGCATAAAATATTGGCTTAAAAGTTAAAAAATAACACATATTTTGGTTTCTTCTTTATAGATCATATTTTCTAGTGCTCACATTATACAGATTTTGGAGTCCTAGTGTGGTGCTGTGGGTTAATGTGCCAGACTGCAAAACTGTTTGAACTGCAAAGTCAGTGATTCAAGCTCACCAGTAGCTTCTTGGAAACCCTATACAGGGTCACTATGGGTTGGAACCGACTCAACGGCACTTAGAAAATATTAAACAGATTTAGGCGTTATACTATTAAAAACCTCTGAGATCTATGCCACTACAGTACAAAACTATCGAGCAGGCAAATGTGATTATGGAGGAGGTTCAGGAGCAGAAGGAGCAGCAATGGTGGTGCTGGCAATTATACATGATGCTGCCAACCATGGTAACAGAGAGTCGGGCACTGATTTGTTGAACTTTTCATGTCTTTTCTTATTTGTAGCTTTCCAAACAATTCTAAGAAGAATGTGCTGTTATGATCTTCATTTTTCAGCTGGGAAAACCCAGACATTGAAGGTTACAGAGTTGGTTACGTTGTTAAGTGTCATTGAGTCAGTTCCGACTCATAGCAACCCTGTATACAGTTGAGATATGAGCTAAAAAAACATCTTTCACAAATTATTTACCAGACATGGCCTTAGTGATGCAGAATAGGTGTTTCTACCTGGCACCTTCCCACTGAGGAGAGGTTAGTGCAAGACAGCCTAGTATAATATTTGAGCTAAGTGGACCTGAGAACAAGAAATTGACCAATCCTATACCATCATGCCTTTGAATTATGGTGCTGGCCAAGAATATTAGAAGTGCCATGGACTGCCAGAAGAGTAAACATATCTGTCTTGAAAGAAGTACAGCCAGTATGCTCCTTGGAAGTGAGGATGGCAAGACTTTGACTCACATTTGGACACATTATCAGGAGGTACCAGTCCCTGCTTGATGAAATAGAGGGTCATCGAAAAAGAGGAAGACTCCCAATATGATAGATTACCAACAGTTGTTATAACAACTGATTTTGAACATAGGAACAATGATGAGGATGGTATAGGATCAGGAAATACTTTGTTTTGTTGTTTATGTATGTACATGTTGTTGTTGTTAAGTACCATTAAGTCGGTTCCGACCCATAGTGACCCTATATTGTGTTTCCAAGGAGCGACTGGTGAGCTTGAACCACCAACCTTATGGTTCAAACTGATTTTTCAGTCCCACGCATAAACCCATAGCACTACACCAGAACTCCATGTACGTACATAGGGTCAGTATAACTTGGAGCCCATTCAATGGCATCTAGCAACAACAATATACTAATGAGTCTAACTGGAGAAATAAAAATTCTAATGATTTTCCTCTTCTTTTGAGATGTCCAAAAAATCTTTTTATTCTGATCTACGGCAATTATATGGATCTGAAAGAGACATTCGTTACAACAAAAACAATGAGTACAACTACATACTACTAAAGTGTTGTCAAGTCTGAAGAGCAAACTAAGTATTACAATAAATGACATTTTGTGAAATTAAAAGCAAAAATCTGGAATAGCCATATAAAATAAGTATTCATTAAAATCTTGAAGGGTTATATACAAACTTTAAGATCCCAATGTAAAAATTCTGCTGCTTAGTTATCCTGAAAGTACTAAAGATTTAAAAAAAAATCAATGAATATTTTTATAAGTGAGGTAAATATGAGGGAGTTTAAAAAGTTTGTGGAAAAATCCCATTGTGCAATTAAATATTGTCTACGTATCTTGAAGCCCCTTCTTACAATATTATAATCAAGTTTGCAAGATAACAATTATCAGTGACAAATTTTATAGCAGTAATGTGACACGAATTTATCAGAAATGATTGTTAAAACAATAAAATACTATAAAAATGTTAATACTTCCGTTCAAGTAGTAGTTACTATGTTGTTTTGTAGCACTCTTTTAATAACAGAATTTAGTGATCTAAGGAAGAATGTCAACTATTTCAGTTGGAAAGAACAAAATTATTTATTTTATCAAACTAAATTACCCATATTCTTTGAGATTTCCTTCTCTTTCACCACAGAATAAAACCAAACCCAGAAAAGAGACGGGGTAAAGACAAAGTCAATGAGGAAAGCAAAACCCAGAGTATGTTGAGATGACTAGATGCTGATACCACAGGGAAAAGCAGTGCACATCACACCTGCCCAAATACTCACCAAGGGGCTGAAAAGAGCGAACAGGACTTGTGTCTCTGCTGCTCTCTCGACTAGCTTCCCGGCTGCATCCCTGACTCACACTCGGTCGAGGAATACGGCTGCTTCGGGCTGGCATGAAATAACAGCAGCAGAGATAAGGAGAAAATAGAAGGCAAAGATTGTGTTTTTTTAATATGTAGGCTTTATTTTTCTTCTTAAACAAAGAAACAAACAAACTGGAGAACAAATTTTGTTTTTCTAATGTTTAAAATATTCTTGATAAGGAATTACAATACAGTTGAATTTCCTGAATGTGATCTTCTAGTTTGGAGTCCTGGTGTGGAGTTGCAAGATACGCAGTGGGCTGCTAATTGCAAAGTCAGTGATTCAAACCTACCAGTCACTCCTCAGAAACCCTATACAGGGTTGTTATAAGTCAGAACTGACTCAATATCATTTAACAACAACAGCAACATTTCTATGAAAGGAGTGGGTAAAGCAAAATACTTTGTAACAAAATATTTAAAGTTTTGAACCATGTAGCAAAATTCAGTTGTTTACAATGTTGACTAAACTTCAGCTATCACACTTTTGGTTTTGTAGGTCCAAATATTAATTTTTTAAATACTGCTTCCCAAATCTTTAACAGAAACATCTTTTCATATAAATTATTAACACAAAGTACAAAACTCATCCTTAAGCTTTCAGTTTAAAATATAGAGGGAGAAATAAATGAATACTTTTGAATTTTTATACCTTTCCTGACGCCTTACAAAGAAAATAACAACACACAAACAGAAGTACAGAAGAAATAAACAAGTAGGAAACAGAAAAGCTACGGGGTAGGACTAAGAATAGAATTGAGATTTTAAAACAATGTGCAGAACTAGACGCAAAACAAGTCTGTTGTTGTTGTTCTTATGTGCCGTGGAGTTGGTTCTGACTAATAGCGACCCTGAACAGGGTTTCCAAGGTTGTAAATCTTTGCGGAAGCAGAAAGCCTCATCTTTCTCCTGTGGAACAGCTGGTAGTTTCAAACTGCTTACTCTGAGGTTAGCAGACTGATTTGTAACAACCACGCTACCAGAGCTCCTTAAAACAAGTCTGTACCACCCACTAAATAAAGACAATTTTCAAACAAGTAAGGCCTCAAAAAGATTAACTCGTATACACCATCTTAGGAATGTATCTGAGAAAGTATATGAGTAAAACAAGAGAGTAAATTAAGAAAAAGGTAGTTGATCCAGGAACAAAAGGGAGGGAAGAAGGAAGACAGATTGATTCTGGGTCATGAAGGCAATGTGGATCAATCAACCTCTAGATCAATCAATCAATCATGTACTTTACTTCTAAGCTTTTCAATTAAAAGAGGCAATACATTTCTTTTACTGTTTAAACTGACTTCCACGGCAATTTCTATTATATGAAATTACAAGTATCCTAACCAATATACAGAGGGAAAAAAAAGTTTATTTGTATTTGAACATGGTTAAGCTGTAAGTGTCAAATCAAGCAGCTAACATATATTCATGTTATCTGTACATATAAATATGTGACAACTATATTATGAATTACACAATATTGGGCTTTAAAATGCTAGCTATATATTTTTAATATCACTATGAATCATACTTCCAAGAAAAGACACTCGGAGGCACCTAACAAACAAAAACCAAAATATCCCAAGCTGTAGCTACCCAGATACCTAATTCAAATCATCAATTTTGTTTCAACCAAATCTCCTTGAGTTTTTATTTTCCTAAGTGCATACATGGACTCCAAAGTCTTCAATACTACAAACGTATGAAATACGAAATAAAGAAGTCCTAAGTCACACACAGAAAACTTACCCACTGAGAGTCTTGATGGACTAGCCTCTCTGCTACATCCCTGGCTCCGTGGTATCTTGCTTCTCTTCTGCGCTGAGGCAGAATTAACCAGGACTCTCTGAACACCGGAACTCACAGTGGAGAGGGCGGTTGTGGTCAGAACTCTTCCTGGGGACCCAGACCGGCTGCCAGCTGAACATCAAACAAACATATGATTAAGATAAGCGCTCTGAGAGAATTTACTAAAGAAGGATGAAAATTGAAAGAGTTACATCTGAAGAATGGACTGAGGGCAATTTAAATATACATATACATATATATATTCACAGCCTGGGAAAAAATGGTATACAGTAAAATCTGTGAGAGCCAGAACTTGATGGGACTGCCTTATTTTTCTGGGTTTTGCAAGTTTTCCATCTTTGACAGGGTGCAGTCTTATCACTTTTCTATTGCTCTGTATTAGTGGAAAACGTTTGAGATTTCCTTCTCTGATAGATTTCTGCTTCACACAGTTTTGGCTTTTGTATATTTTATTGTACTGTATTCTCAAGGACTGAGTAGTTCACTGCCATCAAATAGATTCCGACTCATAGTGATCCTATGTAGGGTTTCCGAGGCTATAAATCTTGATGGGAGTAGAAAGTTTCATCTTTCTCCTATGAAGCTGCTGGTAGGTTTGAACTGCTGACCTTGGGCTGCAAACCAGTGCTTATCCTAAAGCTCCATCAGGACTCCTTAAGAAATGAGTAAGTCATCTAAATTATATTTTCAGCTTTGAGGGTTATAAGGTACTATGCTTAATAAGGACATTATTATAATTTTCAGAATATAAACAGTACAAAGAATTTCCAAGGAATACTTATTTCACAATATACTGCATATGACTAAAATATTCTGTAGGATACGTTATAGGCTTAAAAGGAAATTAAAGAATTAATAACTTCATAGTATTAAGAACACAATGATAATTTGCTTCATGGTAAACAGTTTGCCTAAACAGACAAATCCAAATGGCTTTTAAGAGTTACATCTATCCTACTACTACATTATTTTTTAAATTCTTACAAAATTGAAAGTTAAATGTTAACAAAAGTGGATCCACTGAAAAAGATACTTAAGGATATTATAGCTGCCTTCAAATAGCAAAAGGCACCTGGGAGGCTACAGCCTGGGACAATCTTGTGTTTTGTTTGTTAGGTGCCACGATGTCTCTTCCTAATCATAGCGACCCTATGCACAGTGAAACACTGCCTGGTCCTGTGCCATCCTCACAATTGTTATGTTTGAGCCCACGACTTCTGCCACTGTGTCAATCCATCTCATTGGGGGTCTTTCTCTTTTTCACGGACTCTTTTCCAAGTAGGATGTCCTTCTCCAAGCGCTGGTGTTTGAGATGTAGAGATACTGAATGTTGATCAAAGATGAAGATGTCAAAGAAATCATACCCCTTTTGAACTAGTGATTTTCAGTTCTGGAAGGCAGTAAAGACGTGGATAAGCAGGTAGAATGGGGCAACTAGTTGCTGTTGAGTCAATTCTGACTCAGGATGCCCTCATATTGCCAGTATAGAAGTGTGCTCCAAAGTTTTCAACAGCTGATTTTTCAGAAAGCTGACTGTTAAGACTACTTCTGAGGCATCTCAGAAAAGATGTGAACCTCTAAATCTTTTGGTTAGCATCTCAGTGAATTAACTGTTTGCATCATCCAGGGATTCCTTAGAGAGGCACTGCTGAATAAAATCTCAGAGTTCGAGGTGTGCAGTAAAAAAAAAGTTAAGAAACACATGGCTTTAAAGTAGAACCGTATTGGTTACCTCATCGATCAAAGCAACTGATATCTGCACTGATTGGTAACTTTACAGAAAAGAAAATTAAACTTGCAGATTTCCATTAAAGCTACCTTTTCCCTTCTTCTCCCCACTAGGACTCTGACCTTATAGAGTCTTACCCAATCATGCTTCATTGCTATGGAGCAAAGATTATTAGAGACTCAAATGTCAATGGGGCTGCCATTGAGGGAGGAGTGCCAAGAGACGCCAGGGAGTAATGAGAAAGGTGTACCTGCTCCTTTCCTAAGGCAAAGGTGGCTTTTTACTTTCAGGTGTTGGTCTTAAGGTATTATCAGACAGGTCTTGGGATTTTTTAAAAATGAAAACTGAAATTTTCTGACTTTAGTCATGTTGTGTAGGTCAAACACTACGTAAATTGAGACAGGTTGGATGCTGATATGAAAATCCGCTACATGAGTCTTGTCACAGACTTTCTGAGGACAATTTCTATTCATGTCTAATTCCTACACTCTACCAGCACACAAGAAACTTATAATCTACTAGTTGTAGCAATATTAGGAGGGGGCTTCAAAAAGTTTGTGGGAAAGTAGAATTAAAGGATAATGGACTTTTTCCATGATCTTTTTGAAGCTCCCTTGCAGAAAAATGATGACTTGTTTGAATTTTTTCATGATTATTTCAGGTGAAGAATATTTACACAGGTTTATTTTAGTTATAACCTTAAGTATACTCATAAAGTATCTATTTTCTCCATGCAGTGTCTAAACTAAACATACACACCAAAACATCCAAACACTCAACATGCCACAGACTCACAATGCAAGATAAGCTGATGGAATATTTATGGAAAAACCCGCAACAATACGAAAAGTACAAATAATGAACAGAGCACATACAATATGGTATTCTGTTACAACCAATATAAATTTGGGCAGGGGGGTGGGGGGAGATGGTTGGTGGGAAAGTGTGGAGAATTCTTTGAAATGTGGGTCTATTCAGCAGATAGGTAGCATGCAGTACAGAAGCAGAGTAATCACTCCATCTACATGAGATTGATTGAATGTATCAACAGATGCAAGCTTACTTCATGTATGTTTAAATTTGTTCATGCTCTCTCCTAGAAAAACAAGTGGTACATAAATTCTGCTTTAATCATTACCATCTCTGTTTCAAGGTAACCTGTTCCCCACTAACTGTGTCAATTCAGTGCCTACCATTCATTTCAGAATTACACATTTACTCTTACAAGAAAATATCAAGGCTCTTTTCCTAGCAGAGAACCACCCAAAACTGGAAAATAGTGCTAAGTATTGCTTCCAGGGAAACCAATGAGTTGATGAAAAAGGGCATAGGGTACTTAAGAAATAGCATGCTACTAGAAATGAAACTCATTTGCAAAACTTGAAATTGAGTATCTAATTTCTTTCCTCTGGTTAAAGTTTCTAAACTTTATATATTTTATGAGATACTTACAAAGCATTACTAACATTACATTACATTTGAATGCTTTTAACTGTGGGGAAAATTTGGATAATTTAAATGATCCAGCGTTTTGGTAATAAAGCAAAAACAGGCCAAAGAAAAAATCTTAAATTGATCACTCTGTCTCAATATGGCACAAAGTATTGGAATGGTATATGTTACAAATTTCTGCTGAATAGAACCCATTCTTCATAATGAAAATAGGTGATCAAATAATAGATGTACACATAAAGTCTATAGATTCTTACCACCAATGGTATTAGCAGATTGTGATCCTGAACAAGTGCAAAGGCAGAATTAGGGTAAGGGTTATAATCCAGGAAGTGGGAAGGAGCAGATTTAAAATGGATGGCAAATGGAAACAAGAAAGCTTTAGTCAGTTCTCAGCAAACAAAAAGACCTACTGCAAAAAAAAAACAAACTTTAAAAAACCCCCAAACCACAGATGTCTGTGATAAAAGCAGTACACTTGGTAGTTTCAATAGTTGATAAGCTGAAATCAGACATTCATGTACAAAGCAGATGAAATGAAGTTGCAAAAGTAAATGTACATTCTTCAGCTTTACTACTATTGGTAGTCTAAAATCCAAATAATTAAATGTTTAATTTTTATTAAACATTTAATATAATAGGTTAGGAAGAACTAAAATATCTTATAGCTGAAGAAAGATCACATAAAAAAGCTACAAATTTTATCTTTCTCAAGACAAACACAGAAAAAAAAGGGGGGGAGGTAAGGAAGGAGATGACGTTTAGGACAGTCTGTGCAATCATTTTTACACAACTAGTCACTATTAACAAAAAAGACACACTCCTTACAGAAATATAAATCTGAAGTCTCTCCATTGGGTCAGTTTGCTTTTATTTATTTTGGCTAGCCATCAAAACACACCTACTTTGATCCAAGAGATTTTTTTTTTTTTTAAAAACAAAATTGGAAATCACAGTAATATTTATGTTCAAATATATTATAACGAAATCTGCATCAAATTGAGTTATGGCCACAACAATCTCTTTCTCAAAAAGAAACTGGAATGAAATACAGTCATTCAGATAAATAAGCAAGCAAATTAATGAATAAAAACCTCTATGATATGATTTAAAATCTAAGTGATTTGTATAGTGAGAAAGTATGATATTAAAGACCTATAAGGTCTTTTTTAGACCTTTGTACTTTTGTACAATCACTATGTTCTCACACTTCATAGAAGATGTGAAGTCTAGTGGATTGAGTTCAAAGCAAAAAACCATTTAAATGTTACAATAAACCATATAAATATACTGCTTAGTATTTTACATAATTTTTTTTACTGAGTAGATCTATAGTTACAGTTACAAGGATATGTCAAAAAGCTTGTGGAAAAAAAAAGATAAAGAAATTGTTTCATAAAGTTTTTGATGTACCCTGGGGTAGCTAAGAAGGAGGTCCTTAAGTAATATACTAAAAAACATATAAAAAACACTGAACACTGTGCCCTAGGTTTAATCTTATTTTAGAAGATAACAAAGTAAAAAGTCTTACATACAATTTATTTTTATCCTTAAGGCACTGAGAAAGTAGTAGTCTCTGATTTGCTATTTTTATTTTCTTTGTTTTATACTTAAAAAATTTCCTAAATTTATCTTTTTTTGGCTACTGTAAGAATAACAAGGGAGAGAAATACACAACAGGAATATGAAACTCAATTTACATCAGACTAAAAATGATAATGAGGGAAATTTATAAGCTAACACACAAGCATTAATCTAGGCCAGAGAGTATTTATTAAATATACTATACGTCATTTAATCCTCACAACAACCCTAGAAGGTAAAGTATGGTTTTCTGATGAGTATACGAAAACACACATATTAAAGAACCGGGAATAGTCAAGATTCAGACCTGAGAGTATGGCTCCAAAATCCATGATCTAAATCAGTGCTTTTCAAACTTTATTGAGACATAAATCCTATGGTGATCTTGTTAAAAGCAGATTCTGATTCAGTAGATCTGGAGTGGGACATGAGATTCTACATTTCTAACCAGTTCCGGGAGATGATGGTATTGCTAATCTGCAGGCCACATATGGAGCAGTACCAAGGCTCTCATTTACTATGTTGTTGTTCATAGTGCCATTGAGCCGGTTCCAATTCATAGCAACCCTGTATAGGGTTTCCAAGGAGTGGCTGGTGAGTTTTAACCTCTGACCTTGTGGTGCAAATCAACTTTGTGATCCAGTGCATTACACTAAAGCGGCACAACAGGACTCCCTCATTTTACTATACTATACTGCTAAAGAATACATTACTCTAAACATTACTGTAAAAATACACAATATCAAAGCAGAATGTGATAGTCTACTCCTAATTTGGCTGGGAGAAAAGGCCTTTCTGAGAGTCATCATTTTTCCTATATATTACTAAATCCTTGATTTTCAAATTAAGTTTACTTAGTATTCTGTCTCTAGACTCTTGTTGACTGCCTCCATGGCTACTCTGCCCAAGTTCTCTAACGCTGGAAAGGGGATAATCTGCTAGGCAGGAGGTGCACAATCACCTGCCTGTCAAGCCCCAGATCTTTTTACTGATTTCAAGTCAGAGGATGAAATATTCAAGAATCAGGCTACAGAACAGACAAACAAGGCACCCTCAGTCTCATCAATCATCTTAACAGTACAAGACAGTCCATCTTTTGCTTTCCAAAACAGCCAAATAGGTAGAATAACTCTTTACAATTACTTCCCTAGGAAAACTTCCACTTTTAGAGCTAAGTGTTCATGAAAATCTCTTGGTAAAGGAGGAATGGGAACCAAAACGTTTTAATTAATAATATAATAAATACAATGTTACTACTCTGAAACATGTAGACATGGATCATTCATTGTACCTAGACCTCAAAATTGTGCTTTTTAATAATGATGCTTATCAGGAAGTCAACTGCCAATGAAACAGTAAAAATAGAAATCTTAAATTTAACAGGGCATATAACCGAATGGGTCATTTCTATTTATATTTCCTCACCATGAATCAGTATATATATCTGCCCAAAATGCTGGTTATTAAGAAGATATTTTAATACCTTTCAGAGAGAGTAAGAAGATATCATACAGGTATTTGTCCTTGACTAGCAAATGCAGCCAGATTTTAAAGTTAATAATAGCAGTTTTTTATCTCTAAAAAGCACAATTTTTTTTTAAATTTACATTTGCAGTTTCTGAGTAGACTGTAGAGACCTGAATGCTGAGTATATGTGCTATTTAAAATATCTTCATGCAAAAGTTTTTTTTATAGCAGATGAAGTTTTTCCTTCTAAGTGGCAGATATCAATGATGCAGCCCTAATAACACATCAAAGACAAGACAACACCCACTCCAAAAAATTCCAAAACATGCACAACAACTGACCCAAAACATTGAAAAAATACCTTCATTTTTGTCAGGTGATGATGAACCTAAAGCATAGAACAAGAACTCAGTATATAGCTTGTCTCTCCCTTTATCCACTGGTCAAACTCCCAATACAGTAATACACAAGCAACACACTTACTGTAACATACTGACAAACATGGAAGGACTCATGAACAATACATACGCTGTGACTGAGACACCATTTTTGTTCGACTTCTTCCTCTGGAATCCGTCTTAGCACTTCCCATGCCAACAAGTGGTGCTGAAAACTTTGTTCTCACTGGATCTGAGAAACAAAATGGTTCCATAATTAAAGACACTCACTATATTTTTTAATTGGGTGTGCTTTTCAAGTATGCATTAAATTCTGTAAGAAGGTAAACATCAATTACAGGTTGTATTTCAATTAACATTTTTAAAATCCAGACTATTTTTTACATATTGTACCATAAAGCTTACCTTCCTGTAAGGGTAAAAATGTAGTCTAGCTAAAGATTTCCATTTTTAGTTTTACATTACTAGTCCAGTTAAGTGGAGTTACCTAAAATTGTATTTTAACTTAGCTAGATTCTCAAATCCAGCCTATAGTTTTAAATATAAGTCCATTCTTATAAGCAAAAACCTAAATAACCCCTTTGACTAAAAACATACTTCTACCTGGACTTCAGGAAGAGATATTACCAGGTAACATATTTCTTATTTTGATCCTGTATCACATACCAGATTGAGACATATGCATATGGACAAGTCTATTTCTCTTTTCCCACAATCAATCAATTTCATTTAAAAATGATTTGACGAAATATGTATCAAATAAAAGTTGGCACTTTTCTCAATATTTTTTTTTTTTCTCTATCTTCTCATTCCATTTCTCTCTCCTCAACTATCATCTCACCCGACTTCAAAAAGCCAGGCCACAAACATCTTATTTCTAGAGCCCTAGTTAGTGCACTGGTATGAAAGCTCGGTTTGAACCACAAGGTCGGTAGTTCAGGCTCACCAATAACTCCTACCCTATACAGGATTGCTATGAGTTGGAACGGACTCAACAGTGCTTAACAACAACAACAGAGCAAAAGGAGATAATGCTTATCAGAGTTCTTAAGTAATCTGTGATAAAACAAAACAAAACAAAAAAACCTGAACAAGTAAAAATATAATACAGTAACACTAAAAGGGAGTCTTGGCAAGACACTACAGGGTAAGCACTGGACTGTTAACTGAGGCTCAAACCTACTAGTCAATCCTCACAAACTCTGCATAGAGTTGCAATCAGTTTAACAACAACAAGGTCTATAAACATTGCTGGTGCTGTAGGATAAGCACTGGACTGCCAATCACAAGGTGGTAGTTCAAGCCCACCAGCTGCTCCATAGAAGAAAGATGAGGCTTCCTGCTCCTGTAAAGATTGACTGTCTTGGAAACCTTATACAGGGTCACTATGATTCCGAATCCACTTGATGGCAGTAGGTTTTGTTTGATTTTGGATAGGTAGAGAAAGGAAGCCTGGTGACGCAGTGGTTAAGCTCTCGATGGCCAACCGAACCTACTAGCTGCTCTATGGGAGACAGATGTGGTAATCTGTGTCAAGATTACAGCCTTAGAAATGCTATGGGGCAGATCAACTCTGTCCTACAGGGTTGCTATGAGTCAGAAGTGACTGCATGGTTCTCTCTAAAACAAAAGTCTCACCACTATCAAATTAGGACCAGTACCAAACATAATCAAAGAGTAGGATTCAAAGACATTTTAGCTAAAAGGTACAATTTATAGCATACACACAACACAGAGCAGTCCTTGTGTGGTGCTGTAAGTACTAGACAGAAAGGCAAGTTTGAACTGCAAGGTCGGAGGTTGAAACCTACCAGCCACTCCTTGGAAACACTATACAGGATGTCTCTTTGAGTCAGAACTTACTCGACGGCACATAACAACAGCAACACAATATAGACTGATAAAGTGGAATTCATTAGGAAAAAACATACTGAAAAAAACAAAAACAAAATTTTTAAAAATGTGTGATGGAAGATGGAAAATAATTAGGAACAAAACAGAAGCAAATGCAGAAGTATGGATGGTAGAGTCCTATCATTCTATGACCTTCTTCAAGTCCCCTAATGGGCCCATAGTCCAGGCCTCCGTCCCTTTTACAGTTTACTTAAGAGTAGGATACAATGGTCTCCTAAGTTAGAGGGAAAACTGAAAAGACCAAGTTGCTAATTTTGAAATGGAGAGCAAATTCATACTGGATCTAAACTGGATACAAGTATTTTGATATTAAAATTCCTAAATTACAATGCCACAAATAATGATTCTGACAGAGTTCTACTTCATTTAAAACCTGAAAATAAAAATATTCAAAATGTATCAGAGTAAAATTAGAGCAAAAAAGTAATTTATGTGGTTTTATAATAAAGAAAAAATGCCATCCATATCAAATTTAGAAGGAAAAAATAATAAGCTTCAAATTAGATGCTTTATAATAGGGCGCCTGGTAGGATAACTATAAAGATTGAAATTTTCTATAAATTTAAAAGCAATAAATAATTACTTTGAAAAGTACACTGGCTCAGTAAAAAAAAAAAAAACCTTATGTGCAATCATTGTATTGCATTCTCAAATTCAAATAAAATACCTCATTCCCAGTTATTGATTCAAAAGTAAAAGACATATTTTCAGCAGATTAATGAAATGTTTTTAAACTCTGAGAGGATTATAAAACAATAGTGCATGCTTGCCCAAAGTACAAGTGAACTGATACAAATTTAAAAATAAAATAAAAAGGCATGAATGTCACTATAGAAAAAATGAAATTATGTACTAATTTTATATTAGGTACTATTAAACATGTTTATGTTTATGTCAAACAATTTTGGCTTTTAAGCATGTGATGATATAGAGCAAAATCAAAGGATAGAAAATTTAAAAACAAAAAAGTAAGCCCACACATGTAACACAACCAAATATACAATGAAGAAACTATCATAGCTGGCAAAATAGATTTACAAAGAAATTAACCTATTTTAACATTTAATTCCTATTAATGAAAATATTAACATAGAAGTATTTGTGTTACTAGCAAAATGTGTAATTCTTACCATCTTCAGATGCTGTTCCTAAATAAGAGAAATAAAATAATATTTCAACAAATTCTGCCAGTGTTGATGTTAAGACCTACCTCGAGACCCCCACCCAAGACTAAAATAAAAGGATAAAAATAAAAAATAATTTTAGTTTGATAGCCTTAATGTAAAGGTAGTACATTTTTAGAAACGGAAATGTCAAGTACTTATGCCCTCACAGAAACACACACAGATTAATGCTAGATTAACTGAACATGGTAAAATTCTATAGTGTACACTTTTTATCTGCTATATTTCATCCTTAAAATTGGAAATGGTTAAGAAAATTAGACAAATTCATTGCTCAAGTAAAGATCCAACTCTATAATTACTGTTTTTTGCAAATGAAGGTTTATATAGACCTTTCCAGAACAGGAATTCATTCTCTGCATTTTCAAAAGGTAGTATAACCTATAGAAAGGAGTTCTGGTAGTATAGTGGTTACATACTGGGTGCTGACCTCAGGATCAGCAGTTCGAAACTGCCAGATGTTCTGCAGGACAAAGATGAGGCTTTCTGGTCTTATAAAGATTTACAGCCTCGGAAATCCTATACAGGGTCACTATGAGTCAGAACCGACTCCATGTCACATAACCATCACCACAGTCTGTAGAAGAACTAGAAAATCTATTTGACAAGCCCAGAAAACAAATGCATGATCTAGGCTTCATTAGCCTGGTATTTTCATCATCTACAAAGTTGAAGAGCTATAAATTCAATTCATCAGCTAATGGCTCAATACATATGTGAGTTCCCTAAGATGTTAATGAAAAGTAGTAAAAATAAATCAAATATGAATATCACTAATGACTACTAAAGAGCAAGTATATGTACATATGAGGGGGCTTCAAAAAGTTTGTGGAAAAATTCCATTTTTCCCATGAAGTTTTTAAAGCCCTTCATACTCATACACACACCCACAAAGACACTCACCTACTCCTTGCTTAGTGAATATCTCATTATTTGGCATTTTGCATTGGCAACGATATTTAATTTTTAAAAAAAAATCTACTATCCAACTATTTTGCTGAGGTGCAAGGCAAAAATAATGCTGGCTCTGATGGGTAAGGTTATTTAGCAACCTGGCTGGGCCATGATTCCAGTGGTTTGGCAGTCACGCAATGATCTAATTTGGCAGGTGTGTAACTATGTAATTTGGCAACTGTAATACTGCAGTCATTCTCCACATTTTGTGATCTAATGTGATCCTCTAGTTTTACACAAAGTCAATTTTCACATATCAATCTGGTCTTTGGAAACTAGCCATGTTTAAGTGAGGAGGGTAAATAGACAGACAGATCAAAAAATTAAAAGTTTCTAAAAATTTTCCATTATCTTTCAATTCAGTTTTCCACCAACTTTTTGAAGCCTGCATATGTATGTGAGTGAACATCAGTAAGAGTAACATCCCATAACAGAGGTGACTCTTTGAATAGGTAGATCTAAAAAATCAGAATAATTTGTTTTTCAAAGATCCAGATTATTATTATTAGAAGTAATATTTAAGGGTTGACATATATAAATCATCCCTCTATGGGTTTTCATGAAAAATTTGTAAAACACTACAAACATAAAAAAGGAGCTCTGGTAGCTTAGTGGTTATGAATCGGGCTGTGAACCGCAAGGTCACCAGTTCAAAACTACCAGCTGCTCCGTGGGAGAAAGATGAGGCTTTCTGCTCCCGTAAAGATTTACAGCCTCGGAAACCAGTTCAGGGTCGCTACGGGTCGGAAGCGACTTGACGGCATGTAACAACAACATAAACATACAAAAAGCACAGAGACTGCTATATATAACTAACACTCATGTATCCAACCTATAATTGCCTGAATATTCCATTTTCTTAAAATGGAAGCTATATTAGATCAATTTTCAGAGTCTACATAATAATTGGCAAAAAGACATCTCCATTTTTCTAGGCTCTTTAAAGCAGATACTATTATTATACCATCACTTACAGATTTAGATCTTCCCACAAAGTTCTTAAAGAAAGAACAAAAGTTCCTATAGAACATTATGGCAGCAGATGAAATGAGAGCAAGTACAGATAACATGCTGTATAGTGTCAGAGAAAACTGCAACATATGGTTGTTACTGAACTAAGCAACTACAGATACACTGTAATCATTTGATATTAGAATAAAAAAGACAAAGATTTAAGTAAATTCAGGATTGATTCAATGTTAGTTTAAAATTTATTCTTAAAAAGACAGTGTCTGCAACTTGCATTTCGTTTTCATAACTATATGAACTCATAAAAGATGTCATTTTGCTTCTCTCTGTATTACAGTTACTGAACTAAAGGGTTGAATCAAATGACTTATGAGAATACTTTCCTTAATTCTGAAGATTTTCGAGAAAGACTTAAAAATATAGACTATTCAGAAGTACATTTCTAACAGTTCAGGTAAAAATATGTAAAATATTTAACTTACAATAATCAGTAACCTAGTAGTTGAGTGTGGTGCTATGAGTTAATGCGCTAGACTGCAAAGCCATTTGAACCACAACGTCAATGGTTCAAACTCACCAACCGCTCCTTGGAAACCCTATACAGGGTCACTATGGATTGGAACCGACTCGATGGCACTTTACAACAACAATAGCAAGAAGGAAGGACATGCTTAGTCCAAAATTCAATCACAGAACTATGTTGCCATTTACAGTGAGACTGTTGGTAGTATATTCAGACATTGATAGAATGAACAAAGATATTGTATGAATCCAGAGGCATAAAAATCTCTAGTAATAGAATTAGAAAAGGAAGTTCTTACCATCCGTCTTGTCAAAAGTATCCTCTTTGATGAAAGAGAAAGCAAAGAACAGAGGAAAACTTAGTATATTAGAATAAATTATTTTATAAACCCCCTAGAAAATGTGTTAAGAAAATAGAATTCATAGCACAGACATACAATCAACCTTGTTTTCAACTAGACAGTACTAGAAGATTAAACAATACAAGGGTCCTATGTGAGATAAAGACTACACCTAAGGTATTAAAATAGAGAACTTAAACAAACAAACAAAAAACTCAATACCAACTCTGCTTTTTACCAGCCTGGAGAAAGAAAAATTCGTGAAGTACCAACCTTAGACCCTTACCATTATTAGACACACCTCTTGCTTAAATCTGCTGACTTTCCCCCAATCCAATTATCACCTCACCTGGCTTCTTTTCCTAACTAGCCTATAACATACCTCAAAATTCTACACTTTGACTCTTATACTATCTATTGCTTTGCTGTTGCCGGGCCCCTACTCATCTCAGAACTTTCAGCTCCTATAAAACCTTAAATAGGCATAGAACTAACAAGTCACTTTCTATACTCCACTACTTGCTTGAGGTATATCAGTAGTCTTAAGTGGGCTTCCCTGAACAGAAACACTGCACATGTTGCTGCATTTCATTGTTGAAGGATTATTATTGCCTGCACAATAGTTTCCACCCCACTTGTGAGAGGAGAATCTGTGGAAAGATAAAAGCCTAGACTCCTGTAGGCTCCACCTGATGAGTATTTCCCCCTTGCTGAGCCTGTGTGTATCCTTTTGCTGTTAATAAACTTTAGCTGTGAATACAACAGTTCTGACTTCTGAGATACTGTCTAGAAAGTCCCCAAAAGTGTGGGCAATTGTGGATAACTCAAACAGCACCATTTCTTCTATGACCTTCAGTGGCTATTCTAAAGCTCAAGTTACCACTCTTTACTCTTGACAAATGACCCTGACTTCTTGAGGAATATCTAACAACTTCCCCCTTGTATCTTCTTCAGGCCACCTCACCTACTTAAACAAAATAAAACAGTATATTTGAATCGATCCCTTTCATCATTTTCTTCCCTTCTACCTCAGAGAAACTGGTGCCTCTTTCAGATCTACAGCTGACCCCTCAGCTACGCTCTACAGATCCCATCCCTCTTGTCTTTCAACTTTGGCACGAAGGATGTTTCCATCCTTGTATTTCCAACTTTTCCTTCTCTACTGACTCTTTCACTGTAGCAAACAAACATACTTAATGCTTCCTATTTATAAAAAACAAGATGTTCCTTATCCTTTAATAGGCAGCCACAAACTTATGGTGGAGTTCCATTCATTCTGACTAGATCACAAATAGGTTCTTATTTAAAGTCAAATATCTTATTTTAAAAGAAAAGTTTTCAGTATTTTTGCCTTTCATTATCAGTATCTTTATAAATTCTATCTTTACTTCTATGTAAGAGTTGTCAATGTTATACTTAAACTTAGAAATATAATGACATCAGGAAATTACAAACAGCAGCAATGTATGTAGCACATGTCACTAACAACAAAATGTACCAAAAAATTCCTAAAAGTGGACACCTATAATATAAGTGTGGTTTGTTGTAACTCGAGTTTTACTTCAGGGACTACCTGCAGTGAGACTTCCCATCCATTCTTCAACACCTTTTTTTCATTGCCCAGTATAGACTCCCCCTTCCCACTTCTCCTTCAAACCAGTAAAATCTGACTTCTTTCCTTAAGACCACCACTTTAACTATTTTCTCTTACATTCATATAAATAACTTTTATTTTCTCAAAGCAATTGCAAACAAAGAAGTCTTCAGTGGAACCAAAACTTTATGAATCCAGTTGTTGAAAATATTCATAACTATGCATACATATATCAAGGTTTCCTTATCACTTCAAACTTCCTTTTCAGGCTAAAGAACAGAGGTATCCTAAAAAATACACATGATATACCTGCTAACAAAAGTTAGCAGTTTAAGAAACAAACCAACCAATGGGCATCTGCTTTAAGAAATGTACTGAATTTAATATTAAAGGGGAAATTACAATCATAACAATTCTCTAGGACTTCTCAGTCTAATGCCCAAGAGAGAACTCTCTCAAGTTCTATACACTGTATCCCAATTGTCTCCTGAACTTTTCCAATTTTGTGTCTCATAGGGACTTTTCAAACACAAAATACAAAAAACTCACCCCACTTTTAGATGCTTATTTCTTCTCATTAAACTACCAACAGAATGAGAAACCCTTTGAATAGGGCACATAAAACACTGGATCCACAAGCAGGGTACCTGATAAAAACTAAGGGTTCATCTTCAATGTTTTTATCTAGTTGCTTTATGTTTTTGTTTAACATTTTAGTCACCTGGATTTTTTTTTTAACTTTCTATTGTGAATTGGGTTTATAGAGCAGGTCATCAGTTTTACATCCAACATTACATATATGAGAATTCATATTTATAAGGTATGAAGCGTTGTTAGAACTTAATTTTGTACCAAATAGTAAATTGTCTAAAAATCATTAGTGAGTAATTTATCCTTTCCTCATGGCTAAGATGGAGGGTCAGAGAAAAAGAGGAAGACCCCTAACGAGATGGATCAACCAGGTGGCATCACTGATAGTGTCAAGTGTGGCAGTGGTAGTGAGGTTGGCCCAAGATCGGACATTGTTTCGTTCTGCTGTGCATGGGGTCACTATGAGTCGATTCCGACTCGATGGCACCTTACAACAACAACAACAACATGGCTCTGAAAGTGCTGTGACAACTTTATAATGAACTGACTACATTCATAGCCTAAAATATCTGTACTTTTTATTCTGTTCCAATGCCTGTCTAGTCCTACTACCATCCTTAATGTTGTTGTTGTTAGGTGCCATTGAGTCAGTGCTGACTCATAGTGACCTTATGCACAGCAGAACGAAACACTGCCCGATTTGGGCCAACCTCACTATTGTTGCCACGCTTGAGTCCACTGATGCTGCCACTTGGCCAATCCATCTGGCTGGGGGTCTTCCTCTTTTTCTCTGATCCTCCACCTTACCAAACATGATATCCTTCTGCAGGGACTGGTCCCTCCTGTCAATATGTCCAAAGTATGAGAGATGAAGTTTGGCCATCTTGGCCTCTAAGGAGCACTCTGGCTGCACTTCTTCCAGCACAGATCTGTTGGTTCTGTGGGCAGCCCATGGCACTTTCAATATTCCCTTCCAAAACCATAACTCAAAAGCATCAATTCTTCTGTGGTCTTCCTTATTTACTGTCCAACTTTCGCATGCATATGAAGTTATTGAAAATATCATGGTTTGCATTGGGCACACCATAGTCCTCAAGCTGACATCTTTGCTGCTCTTCAACACTTTAAAAAGGTCTTGTGCAGCAGATGTGCCTAATGCAATACGGCATTTAATCTCTTGACTGCTGCTTCCTTTGAGTGCTGATAGTTGATCCAAAAAAAATGAAGTCCTTGACAACTTGTCTTTTCTCTGTTCTTAAGAATGTTGTTTACTGGTCCAGTGGTGAGGATTTTTATTTTCTTTACACTGAGATGCAATACATACCAAAGGCTGTGGTCTTTGACCTTCATCAGTAAATATTTCAAGTCCTCTTCACTTTCAGCAAACAAGGTTGTATTATCTGCATATCCCAGGTTAATTAGTCTTCCTCCAATTCTGATGCAACATTTTTCTTCATATAGCCCAGCTTCTCGGATTATTTGCTCAGCATACATGTTGAATAAGTATGGTGAAAGAATACAACCCTATCGTATATCTTTCTTAATTTTAAACCATGCAGTGTTCCTATGTTCTGTTCGAATATCTGTATCTTGGTCCAGGTACAGATTCCTCATGAGCACAAGTGTTCCGGAATACTCATACTTCACAATATTGTCCATACTTTGTCATGATCCACACAATCAAAAGCCTTTGCATAGTCAATAAAGCACAGGTAAACATCTTTCTGATATTCTTTGCGTTCAGCCAAGATCCACTGGACATCACCAATGATATCCCTCATTGCACGGACTCTTCTGAAGACAACTTGAACCTCTGGAACTTCTCTGTCAATGTATGCTTACAGTTGTTTCTGTATTACCTTTAGCAAAGCTTTACACGCAGGGGATACCAAAGAGATTATCCGATGATTTCCGCATTCCGTTGGGTCACCTCAGTTTGGAATGGGCACAAATACTGATCTCTTCCAATCAGTCGGCCAGATTGTCATCTTCCAAATTTCTTGGCATTGATGAGTCAGTGCCTAATTATTGCTTTATAATATGTATTACTAAGTAGCAGGAGAAGGTGCTTTTCTAAATCATCACAAGAATTCCTTTCATTATTAATCTTAGTCAAAATTTTCTCAAGTATTCTGATCCTTTAATTTAATATTTCAAATAAACAAAATTATGGAAGTTTAAAGATTTATTTTTAATTAGAGAATTTTTAAAACAAGTTTAATTCCAATTATATATTGATTTTGGAGTATAATCTTTACTATATTGAGTTTTTATTTCAACATGCTTTTAGTTCCAATAATTTCTTAGTTGCCTCTTTAGGAATCATCTCTACAAATTATGCTAATTTCTTTTAGTTCATTATCAACCTCATTTAAATGTCATGTCATATTTTATCAGACTGACTTAGAGTGCAATGCTAAAATACCAGTGATGACTCCAGATAACCTGATGAGAATGGACTATTGCTGAGATAAAGTATAAGATAGTGTCTAAGGAGATAAAGGGGAACAAAAGAAAGTAAAAGTCTCGAAGAACTGAGATAAAGAATATCTATAAGATACTGATTCAAGAATAAATTTTTAATCGAGGGGTTTTGGGAACCTAATAAGAAGATCTGGAAAAAATGTAGTTTTTATTTTCCTATAAAGTTCTTTCCTAAATTGCCAGTCATGTGATATTATAATGGCACTGCAGTATTGAAGCATCCACAGTGACCTGTGAATATTATTTTTGACAAAGTATCCAATTATGTCTGCTATCATTTTCTCCTTTAAGGATGTCAACATATAAATTCATAAATGAGACAGGTTTTAGGGGTGCTGTGGGGTACTGAAATCTCAGGGTTAAACATATCTGCAGTTCAATTTATTTTGTGAATCTCTTCAATGTTAAGACTGTTTCCTCCTTAAAAGGATGCTCATTACTAAATGCTAGTCCCTTTACATAGGTACAGACACACAAACCAGACTATACAATTCAAATAGTTCAAAGTAGTTCCTTGGATTGTCTTATTAGAATAAACCAAAAGCAGTGATCTACTAAGTGGACTGATTTGTTGCTGTACTTCCCAGAAATTCCAGAAATAAGTACACAAGAAAATAAGAAAGGCAGATGTCTCCATCAAATACATGCACACCTATGACCTTAGAAACACAGAGATTCTGATACAAAACAGTGTTTTAGCTTGTGCTCATCTTACTTGCTTGACTACCTAAATCAAAATGAAACACATTTCAATGTTCACATCAAATTCATAAAAACCTCAAAGGCATTAGAGAAAGAAAAAGGAAGCAAGGATGTGGAAAGGAAAATTAGAGTAGCTGGCAAAAAATTTAATACTAAAAATGGTAATACAATATAAAGGTGTGGTGGTACTACAATATGCTTCCTGTTCATAAATCATAAAGCTATGAAATGTCAACACATATATGTTTACTCAATAAAATGTATGCAAGACAAAATGTGTATGAACATGACTGTGCTACCTTTTTCAAGAACATACTAACAGGGATAAGATAAAATTTACTTCTGCATTTTATACTACCAAAAGTTCATGATACTTTACTATACATTCAGGATACATTATTCTAGTATGCACTGCACTTAACGACAGTCAAAAGAAGAGTTTGAAGTGAAAGAAAAATCAAGCATAGACAGATAAACAACACTGGAAACCAACTTCATATTTTAAGTTGATGGATACCAATATCAACATATATATTAATATGCTTTTGGGTTATATGCTTAAACTACGATTACATACAGATAACCTTTGAGTTCTCCCCGGTCCCAAAAAGGCTTTAACTTCTTGGTAAAATAATACAAGTAGATAAAAGAAAGAGAACAAAGAAGTGGGATACAGACCAATGCCTTTCCCAGTAACCAGTGGCTTGATACAACAAAACTGCTGACCTATGTGAAAATTCTGTAGGCAAATCATAGAATCAAAATTTATTTCTTTTATCAATATGATGATGAAGACAAGTGAAAATAAGGCAGCTTAGATGCCACGGAGCTGTGTACCCAGTATAGAATATATTAAAATATGTCTACTACCCTTACCTAATAAGAATGACATGGAAATCATTAAGAGATTATTCTTGTTTTCATTGAACTCAGAGAGAATACTTGTGCAATTTCCCATAATTGGCTGTCTTACCTGGATTCAGGACACTTGCACCCAAGCGCCCACTTCTCACAGATTGCCCAGCAGTATGATGTGCCTTGGCACCAGCAGCAGCATTCACATCGATGTCACTTCGTGAACGCTGCAGACTTCCTGGAAGGGAACTGGCTTTGCTGCTACTGGCTGACACTATGGCAGACAAAGTAAAGGTAGCCTCTATTATTTAAATCACTGCACCAAACAAACAAAAAAATAAAACCCTTTGCCATCAAGTCAACTGTAACTCAAAGCAACCATATGCAATACAGTGTAGAACTGTCCCACAGGGTTTCCAAGGTAGTAAATTTCTACAGAAACAAACTGTCACATCTTTCTCTCATAGGGTAGCAGGTGGGTTTGAACGGCCAACCTTTTAGTTAGCATCAGAAGAGCTTAACAACTGCACCACCAGGGCTCCTTTAAATCACTATAAATAGCATGAAAATTACACAAACTTGAAATCATCATGAGCTAATCCATGATGACAATGGCTAAAAAGAAGACAGCGGTTCAACGAACAATACTATAAAGTATTTTCAAGTCAAAATGTCTCAGTTTCAATCCTGGAACAATCCTAGAGTTTCTAAGTGCAATATTTTCATTGGAAGAATATGGGGAAAATGATCATAATTTGACTGCAAAATCACAGGATTACTTAGGATGGCAAGATGATACGTATGATTCATGAAATACAGCGCTGTACATGACAAGTAGATGGCAGTAGTTGTACTTTTTACTATCAGAAAAAAGGCAAGAAAGGGAGCAGCATACAGATACTCATATTTAAGGAAGGCATTGTAGAGTAAGCCATTAAATCTGCGATTGGTATCATTTGCTTTTTAAAAGGCCTCTTAAAACTGTGAGTCAATACATACCACCCACTGCTGTGGACTCCACTCTGACTCAGCAACCCTTTGGCAGGACAGAGGAGAGCTGCCTCACATGGTTTCCAAGATTGTAATCTTTATAGAAGCAGACTGCCACATTTTTCTCCCTTGGCGAGTCTGGTGGGTCTGAAGCCCTAACCTTCTAGTTTGCAGCCAAGGCACCTCAACCGTGAGTCATACTTCATTAACAGGTTGTGAAATCAGTTAAGTGGGATATAACCAGCATTTTAAAACACATGAAATGGAATAAAACACAGTACATCACAAGAATGGCAAATACTGTTTCATGAAACTTTCGTATACAGTATACATGTACAGTGTAAAATATGCACAGGAGTCCTGGTGTGACGCTGTGGGTTAATGCGCCAGACTGCAAAGCCATTTGAACTTCAAGGTCAGTGGTTCAAGCTCACCAGCTGCTCCTTGGAAATCCTATACAGGGTCGCTATGGGTTGGAACCGAGTTGACAGCACTTAACAACAACAACAACAACACAGTGTATATGTGTGGGAGAAAGACGAGGCTTTCTGTTCCCATAAAGATCTGCCACCTTGGAAACTCCATATAGGGTTGCTATGAGTTGGAATCAACTCCATGGCACATAACCACCAACTCCACCAGTATGTATGTGTGGTACTGGATTACTAGTAAAATGATTTATTTAACTCTGAATCACAAGAAAGCTGTTTGAAAGTTACAACACTAGAAACAAAATATGCTGATTCTTACAAAAGGCAATTACCTCTTCCAGCCACAGTTGACGGATTTGCTGTAGACCATTTGGAAGAAAATGGACGACTGCAAAGCAAATGGAGGGGAAAAAAATGTTTTTAGCAAGATTTAATATACCACCTACCTTTTTGCTAATGATGACATACTACTAAATGAGTGTTTTCTGAAGAAAATGAAAGGTAAAATGAGAAGTTTCATGAGTACTTCTAAATTTAACTCACACGAGGAATCATTTTAGAATACTTGTTCTCATACATGTTGCTGTAGATCAGTGGCTGTGAAGCAAAAATGAAATAGCTAGCAGTGAATAAAGGCTGTTAAGTTCTATAGAGCAAGGAACAGGGCTACTTCTGTTCATGCTGATCCTCAGCACTTATCAGTGTCCACCATACAGGATTCATTAATAGCACTCTCAGCCACTCGCACTTGGCAGTATTTCACTTATAAGGAGAGGTAGAATTAATATTAGTACATAGGAAACTTTTCAGAATCACAGTCTCTCTCACGTGAACCATAATGCTAAATGCAATTTACACAGTTATCATGTAGGTAATCTGCTATCTACAGCAGAGTTATGTATGTTATTGCCTGGGACAAAGAAAAAAAGACTAATAGCCCCCCCCCACACACACCTCCCCATGACAATATTTATGATTAGAAAACAATAAATTATAAATCTCAAAGAAACCAACATCTTTCTTACATTTTTTATTTATCTTTAATTACAATAATAAACTGCAATCCAGCTAGATAATACATTTAAATAGGTATGCAATGGGATCTGCAAAGTACATCTACACATTTTAATGGAGTGGGGCAGGGAAACAAAACTCCCAAACCGATTTATGTCAGAAAAATATTATTTAAGTTATATTATCAAATAGTGATTTGGTAGTTGGTTATTAAACCTAATACTATATTATTTTCACAACCATCCACTAAAATTATTACCCTCTTAAACTGAGGGTAGACCACTTTATGGTTAACAAAATTGAAAGTTAACCCATCCAAAGGGTAATGTGGAAGACAGGCTTGATTATCTGCTTTCATTAAGCTTATTGCCAAGAAAACCCCATAGAGTAATTAGTCCAATTCTGTAGTACGTGGGGTTGCCATGAGATGGAATTCACTCAACTATAACGAACAACAATGTGTTTAAAGATGCTCTACTAAACTAAACTAATGTATTGTATATAGATTCTTGCTAACAAAATACGGTCCATGGACAAACTACTGACATCACCTGTTGTAGTTTATTGAGGTTATAGAGCTGCTTCTGACACACAGTGACTCAGTATAGGATTTCCAAGAAGTGACTGGTGGGTTTGAACCACCAACTGAGCAATTAGTAGTGCAGTGCTTATCCTACTGCACCATACCAGGAACTTGTAAAAAGTGAAAAACATCAGGCGTCATCCCAACCTAATGAATGAGAATTTGTGTTTTACTGAAATCTTCAGGTGATTTATGAGCGCTTTAAAGCTTGAGAATACTAAAATTAAAAATCAAGAGTAAAAAGAATAGACAGCTCACATGAAGTGAGATTATTATTACATATTGAAACAAAAGTTAGTTGTTGTTAAGTGCCATCAAGTTGTTTCCAACTCATAGCGACCCTGTTTAGGGTTGACAAGGAGCACCTGGTGAATTTGAACCACCGACCTTGTGGTTCAAATTGACCTTGTGGTCCAGTGCATTATCCCACAGCGCCACACCAGGATTTATCTAAATTTCTAAAATATAAGTTCTTCCATTAACTTATTTAAAACAGAAGTTTAGATAAGTCATTTTTAAATCAGATTTTATCTGCTTTTATTAACAAAATGTATGCCACTGAGTTTAAGTAGAGATGCTCTTCCAAAACCAGTGTCACAAATCACAGATCTTCCTAAGAGCCACCAACTGACCTACCTTCGTGGAAATGCTTTGTTTACAATCATTTTGAAACTCTAAAATCACAATCCAGTGGATCTACAATGAATATAACACTACCTAAAGACCCCAAGAGAAAAGCCAGAGACAACTGGCTTCACAATTTTTTCTTTCCTGAGTGGGAAAACAATAAAAACAGTACAAAATTTGTGAGAATCTTCTTTCACATAAGATCCTTCACAGATGCAACCATTATTACCATCTTTTGTCTTGAATACCCTCTTCCAGACAGTCCATGGTATCATGAGGCAGCTTCAGAAGTTCTTAGATAACTTCCATCACCTTTTAATACCTTTTTCATAACTTTTTGAAGACCTTTATTTGTATCATTGTATGACTGTATGCATTCCTTTATTTACATATATATATTTTTATATTAAGTCACACAACAAATTTATCTCTCCTATGGGTCGAAACCGACTCGACGGCACTTAACAACAACAACAACAACATAACAATCATAACATTGTTTTTCCTGCCTGTATCACATTGAAAATAGTTACATTCTGATGGAACTTTTTAAACTTTCTAGTGTTTTCTGTTACAAAATCATGAAAATGAATATTCTTTACAGTGTAGTTAAGACTAGGCTAAGTTTGTTTTTGCATAAACTCTATAACCAGGCATGAGCATCTTTATTTCTTTATATAAATTTCAATAAAAATTTTCAAACATATATAAAAGCAAAAGATGGTCTAATGACACCCAGTACCCATCCACCTATGGTGACTATGTGCCATGGAGTTGGGCCTGACTCAGAGCGACCCCGTATAGGGTTTCCGAGGCTGTAAATCTTTACAGGAGCAGAAAGTCTCATTTTTTTCCCCCACAGAAATACTGGTACTTTCAAACTGCTGACCATGAAATTAGCAGCCTAAATTGTAACCACTATGCTACCAGAGCTCCTTACATCCGCCTATAGCATTCACTTTATTGCCAATCTTGTTTCAACGACCTCACCCCCTTTGTTGCCTGTCTAGTCCTACTACCATCCTTAATGTTATTGTTGTTAGGTGCCATCGAGTTGGTACCGACTCATAGTGACCTTATGCACAGCAGAACGAAATATTGCCCGATCTTGCGCCAACCTTACCGTTGTTGCCATGCTTGAGTCCACAGATGCTAGCACTTGACCAATCCATCTCACTGGGGGTCCTCCTCTTTTTCTCTGACACTCCACCTTATCAAACATGGTATCCTTCTCCAGCGACTGACAATATGTCTGAAGTATGAGAGTCAAAGTTTGGCCATCCTGGCCTCCAAGGAGCACTCTGGCTGCACTTCTTTCAAAACGGATCTACTGGTTCTTTTGGTGGCCCATGTCACTTTCAATATCCTCCTCCAACTCAAAAGCATCAATTCTTCTATAGTCTTCCTTATTCACTGTCCAGCTTTCACATGCATATGAGGTTACTGAATATACCATGGCTTGGGTCAGGCGCATCTTAGTCCTCAAGCTGACATCTTTGCTCTTCAACACTTTAGGAAGGTCTTGTGCAGCAGATTTTCTGTCTTGAATGCTGCTTCCATGAGTGTTGATAGTTGATCCAAGAAGAATAAAGTCCTTGACAACTTCAATCTTTTCTCCATTCATAAGAATGTTGTTTATTGGTCCAGCGGTGAGCATTTTTGTTTTCTTTACATTGAAATGCAATCCATACAGAAGGCTGTGGTCTTTGATCTTCATCAGTAAATATTTTAAGTCCTCTTCACTTTCTAGCAAGGAAGGTTGTATCATCCGCATATTACATGCTGTTAATGAGTCTTCCTCCAATCCTGATGCCCCGAGTTTCTTTGTATAATCCAGCTTCTCGTATTATTTGCTCAGCATAAGGTTGAATAAGTATGGTGAAAGAATACAACCATGTTGCACACCTTTCTTAATTTTAAACCATTCCGTGTTCCCACATTCTGTTTGAACAACTACCTCTTGGTCCATGTACAGATTCCTCATGAGCACAATTAAGTGTTCCGGAATACTCATAGTTCGCAATGTTGTCCATAGCTTGTCATAATGCACACAATCAAAAGCCTTTGTGTCGTCAATAAAGGATAGGTAAACATCTTTCTGATATTCTCTGCTTTCAGCCAAGATCCACTGGACATCAGCAATGACATCCCTTATTCCACTGCCTGTTCTAAATCCAGCTTAAACCTATGGAAGTTCTCTGTCAGTGTATGCTTAGAGCTGTTTCTGTATTACCTTTAGTAAAACTTTACTCATATGGGATATCAGAGAGATTGATGATTTCTGCATTCCATTGGGTCACCTCTCTTTGGACTGAGCACAAATACGGATCTCTTCCAATCAGGTGGCCAGAAAGTGGTCTTCCTCATTTCTTGGCAGAGATGAGTGAGTGCCTCCTGTGCCACCTCACTTTCTTGAAAGATTTCAATTTTTATTCCATCAATTCCTGGTGCCTTGTTCTTTGCCAATTCCTTCAATGCACCTTGGACTTCCTCCTTCAGGATCATTGGTTCTTGATCATATGCTACCTCTTGAAATGGTTGAACATGAACCATTTCCTTTTGGTACAGTGACTCTGTGTATTCCTTCCATCTTCTCTTGAATGCATCATTCAATAATTTTCCCAGAGAATCTTTCAATAACAAAAGTCGAGGCTTGAATTTTTTCTTCAGTTCCCTAAGCTTGAGAAATGCTGAGCATGTTCTTCCTTGTTGGATTTCTGATTCCAGATCTTTACATATTTTGTTGTAATATCTGCTTTTATCTTCTCAAGGTGATCTTTTGAAATTTTCTGTTCAGCTCTTGGACCTCTCCTCATTTCTTCCATTTGCTTTAACATCTCTATGCTGGAGAGCAAGTTTAGTGTCTCTTCTGACATCCATTTTGACCTTTTCCTTCTTTCTTGTCTTCTTAATGACTTTTTGCTCTCTTCATGTATGGTGTTCTTGATGTCATCCCACAACTCTTTTCGTCTTCGGTCTTTAGTGTTTAATGTATCAAATCTGTTCTTCAGATGATCTCTAAATTCATATGGGCTGTATTCAAAGTCATATTTTGGCTCTCGTGGACTTGTTTTCATTTTCTTCAACTTCAGTTTGAATTTTCACATGAGTAATTGATGGTCTGTTCCACAGTCTGCCCCTGCCCTTGTTTTCACTTATGATATGGAGCTTTTCCATCGTCTCTTTCCACAGATGCACTCAATTTGATTTATATATATTCCATCTGGTGAGGTCCATGTGTATAGTTGTCTCTTATACTGTCTAAAAGAAGGTATTTGAAATGAACATATCATTGATTTTGCAGAATTCTATCATGCGTTCTCTAGCATCATTTCTATCACCAAAGCCTTATTTTCCAACTACTGATCCTTTCTCTTTGCTCCCAACCTTTTCATTCCAATCACCAGTAATGATCAATACATCTTGATTGGATGTTTGATCAATTTCAGATTGAAGAAGTTGGTAGAATTCTTCTATTTCATCCTCACTGGCTTTAGTGGTTGGTGTGTTAAATTCGAGAAATAGTGGTAATAACAGGGTTTCCCTGTAGGCACATGGATATTATCCTATAACAAAGAGCGTTATACCTCATGACTGATCTCGATATGTTTTTTTTGACAATGAGTGCAACACCATTCCTTTTCATTTGTTATTCCTGGCATAATAAACTATGTGGTTGTTAGATTCAAAATGGTCAACACTAGTCCATTTCAGACCACCAATGCTTAAGATATCGAAGTTTATGCATTCCATTTAGTTTTTTACAATTTCTAATTTTCTATATTCATACTTCATATATTCCATTGATTTTCAATGGATGTTTACAGTTGTTTCTCTTCATTTTGAGTTGTGCCCCATCAGCAAACGAAGATTCTGTGGGCTTTTCTCCCACCAGCTTTACTCCATTTGCATCATCATGGTCAATTCTACTTTGAGGAGGCAGCTATTCCCCAGTCACATTTTGAATGTCTTCCAACCTGAGGGGCTCATTTTCTGGCATTATACCTGACAGTGTTTCTCTGCTATTCATAAGGTTTTCCTTGACTAAATATTTAGAAGTAGTTCGTCACTCCTTCTTCCTAGTCTGTCTTAGTCTGGAAGCTCATCTGAAACCTGTTCAACATGGGTAACCCTGCTGGTATTTAAAATACAAGTGGCATAGCTTTCAGAATTACAGCAACTCACATGCCATCACAGTATGACAAACTGACAGACTAGTGGTGGCTCATCCTCTATGGCAAGTGTTATATATACACACACAAACACACGTATGCATGCACAGAGACACACATTTTGCCATTCTCTCTACCACCTCCTGTCCTATTTTGACACAAACTCTAGACATATTTCCATTTCATATATACTTAAGCTCATATCTCAAAAACATACAAACACTAAAAAACAACAACAAATAAAACATAAAACTGGAATACGAAAATAATTCGTGCATATCATTAACTACGCAGAATTCAAATATCTCAATTGCTCCAACAATTTTTTACAGTTATTAGCTCAAAAGAGGCACACCCATTAAATGCCTCTTAAATCTCTACTAAATTGTAAGTTCTACTTTACTCCCAAAGGAGCTGTGGTAGTGTAGTGGTTGCGAGTCAGGCTGCTAAGCTCACAGTCATCAGTTCGAAACTACCAGCAGTTACATGGAAGAAAGATGAGGCGCTTTCCGCTTCTGTAAAGATTTACAGCCTCAGAAACCCTATGCAGGATCACGAAGAGTTGGAATAGACTCCACAGCACACCACCATCACTACCACCACCACCTTTACCCCCAATCTCCCAATTTATGAGTTGAAGGAACTTAGTTGATTATCCTATAGAATTTCCAACATTGTGGATTTTGCCAGTTGAATTCCCATACTGTCATATAACATTTTCCTCTGTTCCATGTATTTCTTATAAACTGGTATATCTAAAATATTTACATGATTCAGGCATGATTTGGCAAGACTACTTTGAACACACAATAGATTTATGTGTATATATATGTGTTGTTGTTGTTGTTAAGTGCCAATTCAATGATTCTTACTCACAGAGATCCTGTATGGAGTTTCTGAGGAGCAGCTGGTGGGTTTGAACCACTGACCATGTGGGTCACAGTATAATGCTTATCCTACAGCATTGGTAGCGTAGTGGTTACGAATCGGGCTGCGAACTGCAAGGTCAGCAGTTCGAAACTACCAGCTGCTCTGCGGGAGAAAGATGAGGCGATCTGCTCCCATAAAGATTTACAGCCTCAGAAACCCTGTTCAGGGTCGCTATGGGTCAGAACCGACTCGACGGCACATAACAACAACAGCACCACATCAGAAGTCTATATACATATACATATATATGTGTGTGTATGAACGTATGTATATGTACATATATAGATTTGTTGTTGTTAAGTGGTACCAAGTCAGTTCTGACTCATAGCAACCCTTTAAAGGGTTTCCAAGGAGCTGCTGGTGGGGTTTAACAGCCTAACCAGTAAACCTCATAGTCTGCAAATCCAGTGCTGATCCTACTGCACTATGTCAGAAGTCCATATATACGTGTATGAGTTTTAGAATAATGGTACTTGCGAGACAAAGTGCCTCGTTAAATTCTTCATGAGGTAGTTGCTCACTCACTTCATCCTCATCCCAACCCTTATATCAGGGAGCTGCCAAGACAACCAGCTATTTCTGAGCGGTTCAAACTTCCAAAGAGAAGGAAATTGCTGAGAAGTAAAGTGACATTCTGTAAACTATTTTTCCCTGGGGAAATCTGCAGATACTCAGCCCAAGGCAAGAAACCATGAAGATGCACAGAAGGTCACTGCTAAGAAGTAAAGAAGCTGTGAGAGCTTTTGACAATGTCACTGGCCTAGGGAGATGATAAACAGGGATGGGGCAGCCAGAGTAGTGAAGATTTGAGGTAGCCACTGTCATGAGTTATACAGAAGTGAGTCTGATATTAGGTAATTTTGCACCCCTTGAGGAGTTTGTTGAATTCTTAAACTGTGTAAGGAATGAGGAAAGAAAGCAATAGGGATTTCACTAGTCATACAGAGCTGAGTAAAAACTCTGATGTGGATTTCTAAACTTCCAGTACAATGCCACAGAAACAAGCTACTTATGATACGTGCTATTTTTAGTATACTTAAAAAGTATATAAATACTTCTCAATTTTTTCACAGACACTTATTGAGATGCAGTTACACTAGCATTTAATAGATCAAAGAAATTAAGAGCACTTGAATCAACATTTTTATGGCTTTAGGTGAAAGCAAGCAGATATTTAACTATTCAACTTGAATTATTATGGTAATTCCACGTGTGTTGTAATAGAGCTTCACCATCCATAGAGCTTTTAAGGCTGTGACCTCTTCGTGGAAGCAGACTGCTAGACCTCTCGTCTGGTTGGGTTTGAGCTAACAATCTTTTGGCTAAGAGTCATGTGCTCACCCTTACCATGAGTTAGACTACATTTGGGAAGTGGAGGAAAAGAAGAAATCAGTAAAGATTATAAATGTGAACCTTACTTGAGACTTTCCTGTGAGCTAGAAGATGATCTGTCTGACTGAGGAAGAGATGCCACACTGCCAGAACTCTTTAAGTAAGTTTGAAGACTCTTCTGATAAGATGGCTCAAGGGAATTATACAATGTCTCAGCTTCACCAGGAAAGTGGTTTCTGAGACCCATAAATGTTCTGTAAAACAAATAAAATAAGGAAAAGGACATGATGTAATAAACTTCATGATTACACATAAACAGCAAAATTTGTACAATGAAGAATAAAGATAAACCCATTGGGTTTTAATACATCAACTCTATGTGATGTGGATGAATTTAACAAATTTCAGTGGAAATGCAGCACATCTCAGTGCAAAACTTGAGTGTGCTGTTTACAGCTGATATGGCCTTGAGTAAACTGTAAAATCTCCACACCTCATCTGCCATTTGCTGAAGCAACACCAACTCTGCAGAATCATTTATTTTTTTTCAGAATCATTATAAGGATTAGAAAATAACATATATCAAGTATTTCACAGAATGCTAGGTACACATGTTTAATGCGTGAGTTATTTTTATTTAAAATGAAAGTGAACAGATTATGATGGAAGAGAAATACTGATGATGACACAAATGACCATTTAGATGTATAGTGCAGATTTAGTAACTAAAAACAGATCTTAATTTTATTAATGAGCAAATGAGAAGAATCCTTGGGATGCTTCTGATATTTGCATTTTCCCAGTATAATTCCTTTCAGAGAAAAGATCGAGGAATGTTTAAAATGTCATAGAAATATATTATAAACTTACTTTCTTGCCTCCACTCTGGCCTCAGCATCAGCATCATGAATTCCTTTCTTAATTGTTTCAACTAAAACAGCTGCATGTCTATAAAACAAATATATCATCAGATTCAGGTGTACAGGGGTATATAATACTGACTGTAAATGGGGGATTGGGGACGTTGGGGTTTAAAACATTCAAGGAAAAGTAACATGTTTTCATTCCATTTTTCCACAAACTTTTTGAAGTCCCCTCATGTTAATATCAATCACAAAGGTACAAAGGAAATAAAAAGATTAGTTAGCACATTATAATAAATGTAAGACAGCAGGATTGTTCTAAGAAACCATCTCATATATTTCATTCATGCACAGTTTCTTTCTAGTAAGTCTTCACTACAAACCTGAAGACAATTATTTTTATAAAGAATCCAAATAATATATGAAAATATAATTCTGAAATTTTACATTTTTAATTGAAAATGAAACAAAACCAAAATCATCTATGTGGGTCCTTAGTAACCCACCAACTTTAGAAAAAAAAATTTATTAGGACAGGGGTGGGGAACCTTTTTCTGCCAAAATTTATAGCATTACTCATGGTCCATACAAAATTATCAACTTAACAAAAAACAATAGCCTGCTGTATTTGGTCAATTAACTCACCCCTAATGAGATGGCTGAAATTGCGGTTGCCTTGGTAAGGCCAGATCAAATGATTTCACAGGCCTTATTACTATGGCCCGTGGGCCAGACATTCCCCAACCCTGTGCTAGGAGTATAATTAGTTATAATATGATCAAATTGAATAGCAGCAACCATCAAAGAATTTTTTAAAGCCTTGGAATCATATCATGTCTACATTAAACAACAAATTCTGTTTTTTTAAAAAAGGCTGTGATACGATAATACATAATTAAAGTATTTCATCAAAAGTGGGAAATCAGCAATATAGTCAGTAAAAACAAAGGTACTTCCAAACCTCAAACTTGAAACTAATGAGAAACACAGCTGTGTGATGCCAGTGACTAGCTGCAACCCACTTTTCCTGCCATGTTCATCACAGTTACATTAAACACTGTCCAGTACACACTTGACCAACGACACCTGACATCTGGTGATGAGAAAGTAGCCAAAACGTTTCTCATCCCTTTCCTCTGAAAGGATGCCTCTTCCTTCTGCATTAAAACCATTCATCAGTTGGCTACCGGTACCTCAGGTAACCTACCAGACTACATATACATTTAAAAATTTTTGCCCAATACACATGCGCTATCTTATATATCCTATTTTACTTAAAACAGCCATATCCCCTGCTGACAAAGGGAGAAAAACGTATACTGTTCATAGCTGCAATAATTAAAAGGAGTATAACACTTGAGTTTTAAAGAAAGAACAATCCAAACAACCTTTAAAGCAAAATTAGAATTACTGCAAAACCAATGCCATCAACTTCTAAAGGAGTCATAATGGGAGGGCACAGAGGGAATAGGGAAGAACAATCCATGCATACCTTTCCAATGAATGCGTCTGCCACTCTTGTAACAACAAATCTAAAAATTCAAATGAACGTCTGAAAAACAGAAGTTATAATTAAATGTTATATTCAGAACAGTATTAACACCTTCTATAAAATTGCACGTTGTCTTAAAATGAACATTTTTTTTTCCTATTTTGACTGTTGAATACCTGCTACCTTACTTACTCCAACTATGTTGTTGTTGTTTTTGTTGCCAACTATACTTATGTGAAATTGTTCAAAAGACCTTAAGAGCTGCTAAGAATTTTAACTTAAAAATGTTTGTCAACTATAAGATATATTTCACTTATTTTAAAATATTTATGAAGCAGCCACTATGCACTAGATATTGAACATATACAACAGTAATCAAGAAAGACATGCCAACCAGACCTTGCATTCTACATTTCCCATATTTCCATGTACATACATAAATGGTTTTAAAGTATGAGGGTGAGTCAAAAATTATCCAAACACCGGTTATATTAAAATGCCTGTCCACATCTGCGGCTGATGACAACATCGAGCTTGCATTTGAAATGATTCTGTCAAACAGAGAGTGACAGTGGATTGTATGGCAAATCACTTGCAAATCAGCTGTGGCTCTGCCTATGAAATAACCTATGACAGACTTAGGTTTTGAAGGGTTTGTCCAAAATGGGTACCAAAACAACTCGCAGAAGAGCATAAACACAAGCGTTTATACATTTGTGAACAAAGTCTGAACGAATACTCGAAGGAAGGTAAAAGTTTCTTTAAAAAAAATTGTTACTGTTGATGAGACATTGATTCATCACTATGAGGCTGAGAGTAAACAGCAGAGTGTGAACTGGAAACATCCTTAATCGCACACCAGGAAAAAGTTCAAACGTCAGCCATCAGTTGGAAAACTGCTGCTTACAGTCTTCTAGGATTCTCAAGGGCCAGTACTGGAACACAATCAACAGTACTTGTTACAGTGAGATGCTCACTGAAGAAATGAAGCCTAAACTTCGAATTAAATGCAGAGGACTGCTATCCAAGGTCAGTGTGATCTTGCATGACAATGCATGCCCTCACACCTTTGTCCACAATGTTGACACTCTGCAAAAACTTTGTTCTGAGGTGTTAAATCATCCTCCCTATAGTCCTGATCTTGCCCCATCAGACTTCCACCTATTTGGTCCCCTGAAAGAAGCCTTTTGAGGACACACATTCACCTCTGATGAAGAAAACAGTGGTGCATTTGTGGCTCAAAGCTCAATTTAAAATATTTTTTAATATGGAAATATGAAAGCTTGTTGCTAGATAAAGTGTATTGAAAGGGAAGGAGATTATGCAAAAAAAAAAATGATACGTGTTTTCAAAAAGTTAATTAAAATAAATTTGACAGCAAATGTGTATAATTTTTGACTCATCCTTGTAAATATTTGTACATTTTTTCCTAAGCCCTCTAGTTCTCAACTTTCTCAACTGTCTTATTCTTGAGCTCCTCTTTTTTTCTAGTATCTGATGACAAAGCTCTGTTCTGTTTTTTCCCACATTAACACTTTTCCTTCATCTACCCTTAAACATGTGTTCACTTTGTTGGCAATGATCTCAGCCTACTTCTCTTTTGTAGTCTTAAAGTGAGGAACAACATCCATAACCCTACCTCTATTAGCTATGCTTAAAAAAAATTTTTTTTAAAAAAAAGATTGTGCTTTCGGTGAAAGTTTAGTTTCCCATTCAACAAATTTTATACATTTTGTTTTTGTGACAGTCGCTGTAGTCCCCTCAATGTAAAAGCACGCTTTCCCAATTCCTCCCTACATTCTCCACTTTTTCATCACCCATCTTTTCCAACCCTCCTTGCCTTTTGCCCTTTTGGTCTTTTACAAGGGGCTTCAAAACGTTCATGGAAAAATACAATGAAAAGATAATGGAAATTCTTCTTCCATTTTTGAAGCCCCTTGTATGGTTGATTGTTTTAAGGAGCATGTTCCTCACAGGTTTTATAGGCCTATCTATTTTTTGGCTAAGTAGCTCTGGTCAGCAATTTGAAATTACTAGCGGTTTTGTGGGAGAAAGCTTTACAACCTCGGAAACCCTATATAGGGTTGCTATGAGTCAAAACCAACTCCATGGCACATAACCACCTTCAGCACTATGGTATGGCAGGAAGGTGATCTTAGGAGTCAGTTCAATTCCAGGTTTGAAGGGTACCTAAGGTCACGTTCTTGGGGTTCTACCACTCTCTATGTGACCAGTAAGTTTGGCCTTCTACACGATTTCAAATTTTGTTCCACATTTTTCTTCCACTCCGTGCATAACCTTCTATTATGATTCCATTAGAAATGCTTTTCACATCTAAAGTTCCACATCAAGGATTGAATCTTAACTTAGCTATTAAGTCAATGTTCAATTAGCTCATGTATATTTTCATATAGGTATAGAATGTTGACTCAAAATATACACAAAAGAACTGATTATATTCAATTCTCATTATTCATGGTATGTGCTACAATATGTCATGAAAACTGAGTGAGCACATAATGCAAAAGCTTTTAGAAGAAAAACAGAGCTGAGTTCCGGAGAAACTCTGGTCAAAACATTTTTATCAATCAACCAGTTTTATGTGTGTTTGTTTAGACACCTTATTCAATATATACTGCTGATTCATTAACACTAAACTCAGCAGAACTAACATTTATACCTGAAGAAAGCTTATTTAAAACATTTATCTTCAGCATAATGTACATCACATCCTTCTTGTGCTTAAATATACTAGACAGCATTTCAACACTATATAAAGAGCCTTCAAAAAGTTCACAGAAAATGAAATGTAATATTTTTAATATTAAAATCAATAAAAATGCAAAATATGTGCTTCTAAGTAGGGTGCCAAAAAGATACTTGTTTGCAGTAAGAACAGTGAAATACGAAGCAGAGTTTTGCCTTGTTCTATCTTGGCTGGGCAATTAAAAATTTTTACCCCTTTATCTATGTCTACAAGAGGCTCTGGTAGCGTAGTGGTTACGCATCAGGCTGCTATCCTCAGGGTCGGCAGTTCGAAACTATTAGCTGTTCCATGGGAGAAAGATGAGGCTTTCTGCTCCCGTAAAGATTTAACAGCCTTGGAAACCATGTACAGGGTCGCTATGAGTCAGAACCAACTCCACAGAACATAACAACAACATGCATGTCTACACATAATGGCAAAAGAATATTGTGAGAGTACTGATTTGGGAGGAGGGGAATTAATTTTAGCAAACAGATGAATTCACAAACAAATAAGAAATGACTGTTAATTATACATTAAAATCTACTCTTTTAGCCCAATATTATACAGATTATCAAGGAGATGTAGAGGATAAGTTAACTTGTCCAGAGTCATGTTACTAGTAGACGAATGGAGCTGGAAACTGAAGCACTTGATACCACCTCCTTCATCCACATCCAGTTGTTGAGTCTGAAGTATCTACTAACTTGATCTCCTTCAATCATCATCAATACAGTTCTAGTTCAAACTCTGTCTCTCTGTTTTACATGAGTTAAAACAATTCTTTACTTAATTGAACTAATGTCTCCCACTGATCTTTTATAGCTGGAATTAAACTTAAGTTGGTTGTTACCTTCTCACCAAAAACCTACCACTGTCAAAGACTTCCAGGGACTACACACAATGTCAAAATTCCTCTTTAAGGCATTCAAAGCCCTCCATATCCTGACAAACCCACTGCCATCGAGCTGATTGTAACTAACAGCAAACCTATAGGAAGAGTAGAACCTCTCCTTAGGGTTTCTGAACTTCAGTTCATTATGGAAGTAGAGTGCCTGGTGGGTGCAAACAGCCAACACTGAGGTTAGCGAGCAGCCCAACCCACAATGACAGTAGGGCTCCATCCTTAAAAGTCATAATGATGTCTAATTAAGCTTCCTTCTATTAAGCAAATAATTTAAATAAACTTACTTACCAAATAAAAAAGAGAAAGAGATCCTTGTTAAAAATTTTAAACGTCAATTACATAAATTTGTTCACACTATCTCTATCATCAATGGCAATGGTGTAGAAGCTACAAATTAAAGAAATCAGAAAGCCAGCACGCACATATGAGGGCAGCAGTAATTGTTTACTTTGTTCCAAGCACTATGGTACATTTTTGTAATGTATATTTCCTTTAACTCTTACAATTTTAAGGGATCAACATCACTGGCGCTTTTAACACATATAGACAATACGGTTCATGTTGTTGTTAAGTGCTGTCAAGTTGGTTCTGTCTCACAGCGACCTTGTATAGGGTTTCCAAGGAGCGGCTGGTGAGTGTGAACCACCAACCTTGCAGTTCAATCCGACCTTGTGGTCTAGTGCTTGTCCTAAGGAGCTACACCAGGACTCCGAATAAGGTTCATTGTTGCTGTTGTTGTAAAGTGCCGTCGAATTGGTTCTGTATAGGGTTTCTAGGAGTGACTGGTGAGCTTGAACCACTGACCTTGTGGTTCAAGCCAACTTTGCAGTCTAGCGTATTAACCCACAGTGCCACATTCATGGTGGTGGTGGTGCTGGTGGTGATGTGCCATGGAGTCGGTTTGTGCCACATGCATAATAATTAAATAATTATCAAGATAGGTCAGTGAGTTGTAAGACTCTAGCTTAGACCCAGATTCCATGTTCACTGAAACCCAAAGCAATCCAGTGTGCTGAATAACCCAGAGTTTAATGTGATAAAACTAAACTGGGTGGTCATTATAATCGCTTCATGTATTTCCCCTTACGTAAGAAGGTAACAAATTTATTTTGGCTTATAAAAAGCAAGAAATTAGTAACAAGAATTCGGACTAAGAATTTAAGACAATGAAAGACAAAAGACATAATTTAAAAAAAGAATTCCCACTGCTAAAACTTACCTCCTCACAGGAACTGATTTTGATGTGCAATTGCTTGTTATTAAAGGTATGAGTCTGGGTACATGGGTATGCTGAAAAAGATATGTTAGAAAAGGATGAAAAGTACTGTGAACTTCCAAGTTCCACATTCTATTTGCTTCACCTCTAACGTATCTGTGTTAGAACCGGATATTAAGAACATAAAATTAGATTCTAAAAGAAATTAAGGGCAGTCTCCAGGAGTTTTGCCAAACTGAAGTAACTGAGTAATGAAATACAGCTTCAAAAGGACATATGTGGTTGCTATGTTGCCAAAAATTTACTCTTACAAAATCACAGAAACCTCCCATCTAGGTTTATTTACTTCTGAAGAGAATGTTCCCATCTCTCTAACCCTTCCTCAAAGAAAACTGAGCTTTTCAATTTACACCAGTTTGGATACCCTCGAGGGTCTCAAGTCATCTTCCTTTGAGTTTTGGGAACAAAAAGAAGTTTGAGCAGGTAAGCTCAGGGTTATAGAATGGATGCAATAAGGCTTCCCAGTGAAATTCTTCTAGAACAGCTCTTGCTACCCTTTCGAAGAATGAGATGGTGTTTGTCATGATGGAAAATATTCTCCAATGCAGCTTTTGTGGGCTTTTCTCACCAACTCAGTAATAAATTTTCTTCCCAATAAGCCCCCGTGATTGTCCTCTATGTGTCAGGATTACCCCTTTGTAATCCAAAAATCAGCCTCCATAACCTTGTGAGCTGACCTCTTTACCTTGAATTTAATTAGCCTAACAGATCTCCTGGAGTCCTGGTGTGACACTGTGGGTTAATGCGCCAGACTGCAAAGCCGTTTGAACTGCAAAGTCGGTGGTTCAAGCTCACCAGCTGCTCCTCAGAAACCCTATACAGGGTTTGCTATGGGTCAGAATCAACTTGCCAGCACTTAACAACAACAATAACAACAGATCTCCTAAGAAGTCATTGTTTTGATTGAACCTTTTTTCGAAGGCTAAAGGAGAATTGGTGATGTTGTGGATTAGGTGCTGGTTGGCCTGTTAACTGCAAGGTTGGTGGCGCAAACTTACCAACCATTCTAGGGCAGGAAAATGAAGCTGTAAAACCCATAAAGATTTACATTTTCAGAAAACCCTATATAGGATCACTATGAGTCAGATGGCAGTGGGTTTAGCAAACAAGACTAAGAAAAGTGTAATGCTGAAAGACTTGATTTCAGCCATCCACAGATTCAGAGAGACGCGTTTAAGGATGTTTTGTTTGGAATAAACCCGTGAATGCACGAACTGGCACCTTAGTAGTAATAATTTTTTACTTACCTGTGTATATATGTATTTTCTTTGTATAGCAAATAAATACATTTATATAGAAGTTTGGAAAAGTATACACTAAATGGCTAACAGGGATTAGTTGTAGAAAGTAGATTTTTTTTTTTTTTAAATCTGTTCTTTTAGGCATCCTAAGGATAAAGATGATGAGATTAACAAATTCCCTTTCATCTTTTATTATTACTTGTAATACTTGTGATTTTATACACACATGTACATGCACATACATATACACATATTATGTATGTAAGTATGTTTACTTTAAAATTTTCTATATTACTTAAATGTTCCATATTGACGGGACATTGCTTTAATTACAAAAAAAGTAATTCAACAGCTATTTTCTTTAGTGATTAAAAAAAGAAAGGTCACCAGTGACCTATTTACACCCCCACAAGTTCTGGTGTGGTGCTATAGGACAAGCACTAGACTTGCTAACTGCAACACTGGCAGTTCAAACCCACCCACTGCTCCTTGGAAACCCTTTACAGGGTTGCTATGAGTTGAACTGACTTGATAGCACTTAATAACAACAAATCATCCAGTTGCTTCTGACTCACAGAGACCACACAGGACTGAGAAGGGTTGTCCAATAGGGTTTTCTAGGCTGTAAATCTGTACAGAAGCCCACTGCCTCATCTTTCTCTCACAGCATCTGGTGAGTTTACACTGCCAACCTGTTGGTTATCAGCTAGGTGCCTTAACCATGCTACCACCAGGGAACCTAATGACTTATTAATTCCATTTAAAAAGGAGTAAAAGAAAGAAAAAAACCTACCCGGATGATGAATCTTATTGCTGCACATCCAGAAGTCGCCATGACTTTTGCACTATTGGGGACGAGATTAAAAAGTGTAGGTACAATGGCTTCAGCGCCATGATCAAACTTATTTCCCAAAACTGTTGAAAGATGGCTACAAAAGAAATAAAAGATAATTTTTATTTAATATTAAAATATAAATGTTGCCTTTGTGGTTTAGGAATTCATTTAGGAATTCTTACTTTAATCAGTTCTAATTAATTCTAATGACAGAAATGGCACGAGCTGATCCTCCAAAACCCTATACAGGGTTGCTATGAGCTGGCATTGACTTGACAGAGCTTACTAACATAGTGACAGAAAAGCAAAAGACAAAAGGAAGTACAAATATCTATATTTTATCTTTTTTCCATCTTTTAAACTGGTGGTTCCAAAGCTGAAACCAAACACAGTGAGCTATAGCTTTCACATACAACAGACTAGTATTCAGTTAAACTCATGGGATCTCTATGGCTCATTTTCTGAGTATTTTTCAACAGACTCTGCCCTGCACATTCTAGTGTGCGGCCTTCCAAAATTCAACTCTCTTTCCACAATTCAGTAAGACTACTGGGCTCTGCTTGGGATCCTTTTTCCTTCACCAAGGTCCAGAAACTGTTCAACTAATTAGTTTCTTTCAAAAATCACAGTCCTAGCTATCTGTTGTCCAATATCTATAGACAGATTTTGTCCAGTTTTCTGGTGAAAGAGCTAGTTACTGTGTAACAGCAAAAGCAAAAGTCTCATCATGGTATACTTTTAAAAGTTAGATTTTATGGATTTTGTTTTATTTTGGCAAGCTACAGATAATTAAATATTTTGGTATGTAATCCTGCACATAAATCAACCTTGCTAAAATCCTTATTTATAACAAATTGTCTTTAGATTCTCTTGTGATTTTCCATATAGATAATAAAGGCAGTTTTACACCTTCCCACACAACTCTCCCAGGTTTTGTTGGTGGCAGTTTGCTTGTTTTGTCTGTTGTTCTGGCTAGAACAGCTAATACAAGGGGCAAAATGTTCTAGGAAAGGTTAGATTAAAATTTTTCTTCAAATGTGTTGAAGTCCCCTATTACAATTCTGATGAAAAACATTGATATGGAAAACTTTTGTCTTGTTTGCTATCTTTTAAAATTTATGCTCATATAACCACAATATTTAGTTTGGGAGTGGAGATTAAAGTGTATTGCTATCCTGGTAGAGTGGAAGAATACAAAGATATAGAATATTATTAGATGTTGACAAGTTAAAGATACATAGAACAATGCCAGGAAAACTGCTAGAAGAATGAAAAAATAGTGCTTAGCACCCAAATAGTACAGAGAAAATTAAATACATTCAGTTTTCAGAGCCATTCATTTTCTTCTTATACTTGTGGAGTTATGAACAGAAATCCACCAGTAGGTTTTTAAAACAATAGGCACATTTTAAAGTTGGCAATAAGAACTCTGAGGAAAGATGACTAATACCGTTGTTGAAAGTATTTTGGCAGAATCTACAAAACAAAATTGCATCTACTCTTAATCAAATAACCCCACATTCTAAATAAATTTCAGTATGACAAAAATGATATTTGATCATATGTATGCTTTTTAGGGTTACCCTGCTATTACTTTGCATAGTGACCACTTTACATGTTATTGTTATGTGCCGTGGAGTCGGTTCTGACTCATAGCAACCCTGTACGGGTTTTCCAAGGCTGTAAATCTTTCCGGGAGCAGAAAGCCTCATCTTTCTCCTACAGAACAGCTGGTAGTTTCGAACTGATGACCCTGAGGTTAGCAGCCTGATTCATAACCACTGTGCTACCAGAGCTTCTACCTCACTTTACATAGTTAGGACTTAATACCCTCAGAAAAACATACGTATCACACACAAAAATATACTTACGCTACAGTAATGCAAGCTTCTCTAACCACCTGGGATCTGAGATCCTTAGCTGACAGTTTAAGTGCACCATCCAATAAGCGCAAATGCTGGAAAAAGCAATCATATTGTGCAGCTCCAGCAACAAGCAATGATCGAATTTTCTTAAGCTGAAACAAAGAGAATTTTTATTATTGACATAAAAAGTGGCAGTGCAAAAAAAGGGTAGGAGGAGAAAACTAAACAAAATAAAAAACTTAAAAGAACCACATAAAAATTTTTATATAATTATATTCAGACATTTTAATAGCTTTAAATGTACCTTATAAATAAATAATACAAACCAAAAAAGAAGAAAAGCAAAGTCCTGGGAAAGAACAGTAGAGGTTTATATACAGTACAGATGTTATATGCATAACAGATACATACAGTGTATACGTAGATAGGTAAATTTTAAAGTTTTAAGGGAGTCATTTTTATTGTGGTAATATACATAGAACCTAAATTTATCATGTTGACCATTCTGAAATGTGCATTTCAGTGGCATTAAGTTTACTCACAACTATCGTGAAATTCTCATCAGTATTCAGTAAGGTAAACTATTTTTAGAAGTGTCAAATTTGTAAACTATATTTACTCATAAGCAAAAGTATAAAATCAAAGACCAACAAGTAAGCCATTATCATGAAGCATGAATAGACTTAATTTGTGAAGCAAATGGGTCTTTCTTCCTCTGTAAATACACTTAGCATTAGTTTCGAGTACAGGATTGACAAATAATTCCTACATAGACACCAGAGATACATAATAAAATTACATTAGTCAAAAGAGAAACACACAGGCACACACACACCTGTTATCACACACAGAAGCTAAAAGTTTGCTAATAAAAATCATTATGCATAATTTCACATGAAAATCTGAAGTTTCCTAAATTTTAAATTTCAGATGGTTTAAAGATGTAAATGTAAAAAAAAGTATGATATAAACATTATTGGAAAATCAGAAAGGATATTTATATTGCTTTGGTGCATTTAAGAAAGGAGCCCTAGTGTCACAAATGATTAATCAAAAAGATCAGCAGCTTGAACTGACTAGTCTACTTGAGTAAAGATTACAGCACTGGAAACCCTATAGGACAATTCTACTGTGTCCTATAGGATCACTATGAATCAGAATTAACTTGACTTTGGTTCTGGTTTTTATGAGAGAGGGGAAACCACCATTAACAAGACAGAAATTACATAGAAGGTATGTAAACAAGATTAATTTAAAATAAAAAGCACAATCTGCCAAGGAAAAATTACCAGTGATAGATACGATACAAAAAAATGACAATGAAATAGAAAACAAATTATTAAATTGGGCAAAAAAGTATATATGAAAATGTGATCTTTATAAACAAAAATTACAACAAAGATATCTCATTTTCTCCCATCAGACTGGCAACAATTAAAGACCTAATAGTATCCACCACCACTTCTCTGTCAGTCTGTCACACTCTTCCTTACAAGTGCCTGTGATTATGGAAGCTCTATGTACAGGTTTCAGATGAGTTTCCACATGAAGAAAGACTAGGAAGAAGAAGAGATAGACTCCTTCCGAATATTTAGTCAATGAAAACCTTATGAATAGCAGAGTAACACTGTTAGCACCAGAATATTGAAACATGATGAAAAACACCAGAGTATTGTTAAATATAGTACCAAAAGATGAGCCCGTCTGGTTAGAAGGCACTCAAAATCAGATTGGGGAAGAGCTGCCTCCTCAAAGTAGAGCTGAACATGATGATATGAACACAGTACAGCATTCAGGACCTTCATATGCTGATAGGGCATAACTCAAAATGAAGAGAAAACAGCTTTAAACATCTATTACTAATCAGAACATGCAAAGTATAAAGTATGGATATAGAAATATAGATTAAAAATGAAATGGAATGCATAAACATTGATATCTTAGACAGTAGTAAGCTGAAAAGGACTGGTATTGGCAAGTTTGAATCTGACAATCACATGTTTTACTATACCAAGAATGACAAATCGAAGAGAAACCTGCATCACATTCATCATCACAAAAAACATACCAAGATCTGTTTTGAAGCACAATGCTGTCTATAATAGGATAATATCCACACATCTACAAGGAACACTAATTAAGAATCACTATTATTCAAATTTATGCACCAACCACTAAAGCCAGTGATGATGAAATTGTAGAATTCTATCAATTTCTTCAATCTGAAATTGATCAAATAAGCAATCAAGATTAGCGATAATTACTGGTGATTGGAATGCAAAGTTTGAAAACAAAGAGGAAGTATCAGTACAACCATGGTGACAGAAATGATGCTGGAGTTGGCATGATAGAACACTGCAAGACCAACGACTACTTCATTGCAAAGACAGTTTTTAAACAACATAAAAGACGGTGAAACACATGGACCTTACTAGATGGAATACAGAGAAATCAACTTGACTACAACTGTGAAAGGAGATGGTGGAAAAGCTCATCATGAGGAAAAATAAGGC